AGGATTTTGAATTTCTCTCAAATCTCCCATAGGTTGAGATACAAATCTCACATTATAAGATCTTTGGTCATACCATGGTTGATTAGAAGGAATTTGACCTTCATTTTAATCCTAATTAAGATTAAGAGGAATATATCAAAAAAAAAATTGGAGCCCATTAAATGTCTTTAAGTTCTATCTATTGTTTTCATAATCATAATATAAATTTGGGGACCTCAAGTTGTTTTCTAATAGAAGTTGTCTTGCTTTCCTATGATTATTGTATGATTATTGAATGTAATTACTAAGTTGAGGTTGTAAAAGACCTATTCTATTTATTTTTTTGTAGAATGTTGTGGGATTATTACCACTACAATTTCCACAATTTACTTGGTTCTTAATCCAACACTGGCCAAATGGTTGTCTTTTCGTGCAAAATGCATAGAAATCCACTCATTGTCTTCATTGATCTTTATGATCTTAATTACTAGAATTATATCATTGTTGTCTCAAATTATATCCTTAGAAAGATTGATTTTTATGGAAGGAGATATATAAGATTGAGGGTGTTGATTTTAAAAGGACATAAGATTGCAAAATTAAGCCAAGTGCTTTAGTTATCTACAACGAGTGTATCATAGACCTATGGCATGTCTTCATAATTCAATAGAAGAAAGAAGAGGATTGGGATTAGAATTTTTAGCTAATCTAACTAATTTTTCCATCATCAATTTCTTTTGATAAGAAATTTGATTTTGAATAAAAAAATGCTTTAGGATATTGTCCATAAACAAGGTTCTTACAAATCTTGTCACTACTAATTCAAAATGACCAATATATGAGGTGATGTCTTCATTTTTTCCTTATCTAAACGAAGATAAAGCAATTAAGGTTGTACTTTGTCCTACTTCAAGGCAAAAGTGCTCTAAAAAGGCCATTTGTAACATATCTCAACTCAAAAAAGGTGTTGGGCAAATGGCCCATCTTTTAATATGGTTGAAAACCACACTAAATAATAATAGTTGTCCATTATCAAACAAGTCATGAGTATTTCTATGAAATGCTCTATGTGGATTTAGAGATACTCATCTCTTGTATCTTTAAAGATGGAAAGGTAAGAAGGCATGGACAAGAGCTTGGGCAGAAGAAGGGAGTTCTACAAGGATGTCGAAAACCGCAATAAGAGCTCTACGAGAGCAAGGCAGTTTGATGGATTAGTTGCAAGGGAGCAAATAAAAAGAGTTGTAATTCCCAGCTAGATCTCTTGCTGGTGGAACTCCTTCTGTGGTACAAGCCAATTGTCACGGTAGAACTAAGTGATTAATAATTTCAGATGTCTCTGAAACATCCAAGGAGGAACTAGATGTGAAAGACGATGGCGGAGGGTGATATTCCAAGTGTGGCAGAAGCTCTAACCCAGAGCAGGGGTCGACGCGGTGCGAAGGGCGTAGAAAGAGGCGCTCACCAGGAGGGCCGAAGGAACCATAATTCAGGACTGGCTCGGACAAGGGGGCTCAAGTTGACCCTTGGTCAGCAGGTCCAGCGAGCGGTGCGGTTCAGGGAGACAGTCCACCGTGAGGCAGGGGATAGGAGCCAAAGCTGCCGAGGACGTCGCGTCGGGTGGAACCGCAAAGGGGACGTGGACCCCAAGGCATGGCATGGGATCCGCGAATATCGGGTCAGGGGCAAGCGGATACGAGCCAGGATCGAAGGCGAGGGTCGGGTCTGGGGCTCCTGCCAGGTCTGACGCGGCAGTAGTAGCCGAGGACGGGCCCTGGTCTTGAGCGGCTTCCAAATGTGGTCCTGCAGTAGGGCGGGCAAGGTCGGGTATCGCAACGGGTAGAGTAAGGTCGGATATTGCAACTGGTAGAGTGAGGTCGGGTATTTCAACAGGTAGAGTAAGGTCGGGTATTGCGGCTGGGAGGAAGGGGGGCACATCCAGTGGAGTCCATACTCCTCACAACAGATACCAAAGTAGATAAGGAAACTTGGGCCGCACAATTATCAGGAGGCTTTTAATCACACACAGATTGGTGATAGAACAACGGTTGTATTCCAGTTTCAAGAATTGCCGAGGAGGTAGTAATGTCGAGGGGGTGCGGAATAGTCTCTTCCTGAAACACAACGTCTTGGGAAATAATCATCTCACCATTTAGTACTATTTGAGGCTCATATGCCTTACTTTTGGTGTTATAGCCAAGGAAGATGCACTCTTGAGATTGAGAATCAAGCTTCACCCATAGAACATCAAGAATCTTGGCAAAGCATTTACTTTCAAATATGCAAAGATGTGACAAATTGGGCTTCTTATTGCACCAAAGTTCAAAAGAAGTGATGTTCCATAGGATTGCTTTTGTAGATATGTGGCACAAATAATAGGAATTTTGTCTTTATTATCTTTTTTCAAACACTTTCTCTAAATGTGGTTGTAAACACTTCTAAGAATGAATTTAGATCATATAAGAATTATAAATCAATTTTAATTAAAGATACAAACTAAGGCAAAGTACTTCCAAATATGAATGCATCTATAAATCCAATTTGAGTAAATCTATTAAGATATTTAGAATGATATAATTTTAGATAGAGCTTGATTTATTGTAGAAATTCTTGAAATTTTGATTTTATTCCATCAAACAACTCCAACATATTGATCCTTGTCTCTCTCATACTTGTAATAACAAGTCTTTTTAGATTCAATTATGAAATTGATCTTCTTGTTTTTTTCAACTATGTAACTTCTTAGCATAGACATTAAACTTCATTATTGAATTATTTTGAAAGCATAGGAATAGTACATCTATTGTTGACATTGGTAATATGTAAGATTTCCATCCTAAGAGTATTGACAAACTCGTTAAGATCTACAATGGTTGCAATTCTATTCTCACTTCTCCCAAGTGTTGCATTAATATTTTTTTCTTTTATCTCTATAAAAAATAACTTTAATAAATCTACAAGTCAAATTAGAGGAAGATAATTTGCAATCTTCAATATCAAATGAAAATTTATACAAAAAAAGATACTTCATTTTTTATAAAAAAAGAATTAACATTAAAAAATAAAAAAATATTAATTTAAAGGTAGGTAGTTTCCAATCTTTAAAGCACAATAAGAAAAAAAAAGTAAAATAATCCACCTACTTTAAAAAAAAAACAAAAATATTAAATTAGTACTATTATCAAACTATTAAAGATATTAATCACAAAGAACCAAATGATCAATATATTCATGTATGACAAGAAAAGAGTAAATAATTATTCAAAAATGGTATAATATTAAGACTAGAATGGCTATTGCTAAAGATAAGAAAACTAGAGACTCTTCAAACCAAACTAAGAACAAAAAAAACATTGACAAGAGTGCGAAAGGCTTCACTCTTGCCTCTATATATATATTATTTAATTACGAATTATATAACAACATTTTATAGGACCTCCAACATGTGATCAACTCATTGAACATGTCTCTAACTTATAAGACAAGTTTCTTACATATGTGCTATATAGCCAACTTGTACCATAAGTCACAAACATGTGTAATACATAGCCAACTTGTTGGCCAAGTTTTCAACTTATCAATCACTTATAAACATGTAAAAAAATCAAATTCATGTCTATAAAGCTCTTAAGAAGCTTTTCCATAAGATATTATCAAATTTCCTTAATTCTATATAATTTTTTTAATCTACTTAAATATGTACATCCATGACATTTTATTATTCCTTTAAATACAAGGAAGAAAAATCAATCAATTATAAAAAGAGGTGATAAAATTATTTGGCACAATATATAGCAATATTAATAGATATTATTTATCTTCAAACTCAAAGATTTTTACAAATTATCTTATTTTTAAATTTGGAAGATCTAAAAAAATTAAAAGAAGTTTAAATAATATCATTAGAAGTCATTATCAAAGATATGAATTTAAGAAAAACTTAAGAAATAACATATACATTTATTATTGGAATTGAAAGAAAGTAATAAGATAAGATATATATATATATATATATATATATATATATGAAAAATAAATAAATAAATAAATAAATAAAATCCTAAAATCCTAAAATATCTAGTGCCAAAAATAAAAATTCTAGAAAGTCTTTAACTTAGACTAAAATAGAAGAAAAATATTGTCATTAAAGATGGTTGCACTTTTATCTCCATATATATTAACTATCAACAAAGCCTTATAGAAGCTTCTTAAGAATCATAAGACTTGTGGCCTAAGATTTAAGTTTAAATTGCTTTCAATACTTCTTCTTAAAAGTAAGTGACTTATGGAATAAGTTTTAATAGCCATGTGGCATATCTATAGGAATTAGAAGATTTAATATGTGTCCAAGAAATGTCCTCTTTTTACATCTATTTACTTCTATTTACAAAAACAATATAGATTTTATTAATATTTATTAAATATTATTTAAATAATATCAACTTGTTGAATTTTTATCATATTTGTGAGCATCAAAAAAACATATGTAGGATTTTACTAATAAAATTACTAAGTGTTGAGCTTACCACTTAAATACCAAATTTGTTAGTTATTGTTGTTTTTTATAAAAATGTGTATCTAAATTATTGATCATTAAAGCATTAATAACATTAAACCCTCTCTAAAAAGAGTGGAACCTATAGAGGGATTTTTTTAAAGCATGTGCTAGATAGATAGGATTGCATTTGATGATTGAACAATGAATACATACACACATTTATTGCCTTGACAAAACAAAAAATAAGAAAGTGCTTATTACTCTAAGTGTCTTCTACACAACAAGGTGTTGGATGAAATAATCAGTGAATAATTACGGTTTGATGGGACCTTGTGTTGAAAATAAGACCACTTCAACAATCTTGTGCAGTTTGTTACGTTGTAATTGTTTGCCATTTCCCTTCAAAAGCTGCTCCTTATGCTATGACCACAACTTAGAAGTGTCCAGGAATGGTTACTTCAAAGGGCGGACATTTTACATTTTGATAAGCTGCTCCTTAAGCTATGAAGACAACTTGGAAGTGTCCAGGAATCGTTACTTCAAAGGGCGGCCATTTTACATTTTGATTAGATTACATGCAAATGAGAGACATTTAAACCACCTACTGCATCTATGGTCATTGGTAGTAATCAAAGCACCTCACACTTGCCCCAATGCTTGATTGAGCAAAATGATTGCTTGGACTAATAATTTACATAAACTGAAGGCTATGTAGCAACTTGATCTTGCTTTATCTTCCAGAGTATTCAAAAGAATGCCTATTGTACAAATCTAACTCTATCATGCAATTATACAATGCTCAACATAGAGAGGAGCTTTTGTTTTTCTTCAGCCCGCTTCCAAATTTCCCGGTTCCGTTTCCGCCTCCTGTATCTGGTCCGTCCATTTAACCACCTGGTATAACTACGACCTTGCTTGCAAACAATAAAATCATTCAAGTCATCGTAATTCTCCTTGCTAGAAGTCTTTTCAAGCAGTAACACCTCTGCCACGTATGAGTTGCCCTCAGCCCCAGTGGGAATGTCTGAGGTCTCATCCTCTGCCATTCGTCTACATTTGCGCACTGGCCTAAGTTTGGGAGTTTCCTCTTCACCTTCTAATACAAGTTTCCTAAAAGAAGCAAATAAATAGCTGATTAAAAGACAACATTAGAGATCTTTCACAGGACAAAAAAAAAGTCTCTGAATACCAAAACTCACCTACCACCACATAGCTCGAAGCCGGATCAATACATGCTCTAAAGCATTCTCACTAGACCACCTCACTACCAGCTTTACGTTGGAGCTCTCAGCTTTGTCACTCGAAGGCATAAATCGGTTTTCGAAACCCAGAAGAATCCAACACAATACAATTAAAACTACCTTCTTATGATTAAGGAGAGATTAGTGCAACTCTTTTGAATTCCAACTATGGCATTTTCATAAATACATTACAAAACCAACAGTCAACGAAACAGACCGGTGGAGCGAATGCATCAGCTCAGAGTTGGATGCAAGTACTGCTAAGAACTAACCTCTGTGGAGAAGCGTCACTGGACTTTGCCGAACGGATTCGATGTTTCATCAACCTTTTAAGGATTGGTAATGTTGAAGGCCGCAGCTGCTGTTTTTCCAAGCCAAGGTGTGCAGAGCATGGCTGATGCTCTGAAGATTCTCTCTCTTCATTTGGATGTAATTGCTTTTCAACGTTTACAGAACGTGAATGATTATGCTGCGCAGGTTCCCTCTCCATACCTGGACTCTGCTGCTCATCAATGTTTCTACCACAGAGCTGATGTTTCGAAGGTTCTCGCTTCTCCTCTGGACTTGGTGACCCTTTAAAGATATGCATGTCATGTTCAAGATCAGCCGCCCATGCGTTCCTGGAAGACAGATTCAAACAACACAATCAGACACGTAACAATAAAGAATAAAGAATCAAGGTTGAAATTAAGGATTACATTCTCAGATAGGACAAACATCAATCAATTCATATTTTCTCCTTGCAGGCTTCAATCTCGATCAAATATAGAAACCTTCAAGATAAAAATTGTAAAAGGGATAATGAAAGGCACCTATCAACTTCATCAACCTCTCTTTGCACCACCTCTGGTCCTTTTATCAAATCACGCCTCCCATTTGCGGGGAGATATTCTCGCCAGGCATTTGTAGACAGTACATTGTCCATGAACTCACAAAAATCGTTGAGAAAAAAATTGATTTGATAAATGATCGAAACAGCATTTCCACCCAACATCTGCAACAGAGAAGCGAAGAGTCAAAGCTCGGAACTTCAGCATCTTCGGGTTCACTATAACTCCTTGACATATTCCTACAGGTAGAAGGTTTTCACAATAAATTCTAGGATGAGTGTCTTACACAAAGGGTCACTACTTCGCTAAGAGCACGGCGCTATTCACTGAGAATAGTAACAATATATTTCAAGACGCTGTCACTGATATAATCACTCCCTTCACCGCAATCGCGCCATGCCAAGAAATAGTTTGCAACGAGATAGTAAAATTACCTCCAGAAGTTGTGGTTCTTCAAGAAACTTCTGCAATGAACTGACAACCTTGCTAGCATAGCAACTCGGTGATATTGATTCCTGTGCTTCTCTACTGCATGAGTCCACATCCATTGTTCCATTTTGTCCAAACATGTCGTCAACAGGTAGAGAGAATGACCTGTTTTTTCTCCATGTATGCTCCAAAAGCAACGAAATCGTCAATGATTCCAATAACTCTAAGTACTCTCGCAACTTCTTGTCAGAAATAGACTTTTTAGCTTCATAGTACAACATGTCTGTGAAAAACACTATCACATGGCCCACACTGTCCGCAGCTGTGATGTCCCTAGCAAACGGCAGACATTGATGGAAAGAACCAATGAGACCTAACCAAATATTATCAATATCGTCTCTGGTCATATCGGCTGCGAGGTTATCTTGAAAACTTTCCCCAACTAATCGCACTTTTCCTGTTATGAAATTTAGAGCAGAGTGCATCAAATGCAGTACATCAGAAATCAATGTCGACTGATCTTCTTCCCAAACAGGTACATTACAAAGCTCTCTTCCACAGAAATAAGTCCCAGATGACCGTTCAATGTTGCTATTAGGATACAAGACCTGATGAACAAGATCAGCCTCTTGTCCTAGTCCTTGCATATGGCGATGATCATGACAATAAGTCTGGTCCATGGACTCCTCAAGTCCTTTCCGCAGAGTAGCGTCATTCAACATTGATTCCAAAGCAGACTCGCACTCTTGGCTCATTTGACCCCGATGGCACACATATTTCCAAAGACATGAGGCTAATACTGTATTTGATACGGCACCAGATGGCAACTGACCATCATCCAAACATCTTCCCAAGTTTGCCAGGTGAGGTGCAGATGCGAATTTCATATATAGTGAGACGCCTCTCTCAAGAACTGAATAAACAAGCCAGATATTAACTTGCCAGCTGTTCGAATGCGGTGAAAAACACGTATTAATTTTGTCACTCGCTGCCTCATTAGAATGCCCTGCGATTGGAAATCGGGAGAACCACTTCTTTCGGTTCTTTTGGAACTCCTGTTCCAGCTTCACCGAAGAATGAGAGCTATCAGAAATGCACGCTGAACCTTGCAAAGCTCGGGATACTGTTCTGACAACATGTGACAGTAAATATCGTGGCACATTGTCAGTAATAACTCTGTCAAGTAACTTCACCGCCGACTGCAAGCTTAGCTCGCAGACTCGAGCTCTTAAATCATGCAGTTCTTCAGGCCCATGAGCAGATATCATCACATGCGCAAGTGTAGCCTCCAGTATGAGCCGAGATGTACTGGGATCTCCCAACTCAAGCTTCGTATCTTGTACTAGAACCAATTGAGTCTTAGAATAACACGACAGCTCGTCGATAAACACCTATAAAGACAAATATCTCAATGAGGTTCAGACAAAACAAAAAAAGTAATTTTTTTATCAAGGATTTCATCAGTTGAAGTTCTTAAACCTCGCATAAACAAAGATGTTGCATTTTTAAGCTAAGTTCTCACAACAACTCACTCATGAAATTCTAATTCCAGCAACCGATAAGTGATCGAATTCTTCATCTGAAATAAGCAGATAACCATGTCTGCAACCAGTCGCACTTTACAAGAAGAAAACTAAGTAAATCGTTTGGGCATAACAGTACCTCCAGCAGGGCACAAAGCGTAGGGGCTCTGTGAGGGTCAATGTTAGAAGCTGCCCTTTGTAAAGCAAAAGCATTTTTGGAAAGCAAGCACGGTTCTCTAGGTGAACCGATCTTCTGTAATAGATTATTCAGGCCCATCCCCATGACATTTCGTAAGCCAGTGTCGAAAAGTTCCATCAGAGGCAGCAGCCTTATGCAGCAACGTAAGGTTAGAGCAGTCACTTTAAGTTCTAGAAGAGTCGGAGGGAAAACGAAGTGTATTTCACCAAACTTATCATCCTTCGCAGAAAAGAGAGGAACATGACGACCGACCTCTCGAAGGAGGTAGTTATGCAAGGCCACTAGATCATCGTAAATGATATAAACTTCTGTCTCTCCTACGACGGCTGACAACATAATATCTTCATTTGATCCCAACGGTGGATACTTGAACGTTGCTGCAGAAGAAGACAGAAAGTAGTAGAGGTATTTGAGAATATCAGCCTTGATTTCCTCCTGAGAGTCATGACCACAAATCAGCGTGGGAAACAACTTGTGACATCGGAGAGCGAAAAAAACAAACTAGTCTAACCAAAAACAATCTATCAAGACTCTCCACTTCAGCGAGTGCGACAAGTGCAAATAATGACTCCCAAACAATCCCACACGCACGCGAAAAAACAGAAAAAGAAAAAGAAATGGGACGACAAAAAACTGCCGATTAATATTCAAGAATTACTCTGCTATTTCTGTTGTTCCCACATACGAGTTTGTCGTATTAAGTATGCATACCAGTTCCACGACACCTAAAACGTCGACAAATTTCCCCACTGATGTCCACTTCTCGCAGTCACAACGTGATGAAACCTTCCCCTCGACGCATTCTGTCAAACACGTCGTATGAGGCCGCAATATACAAATCCCTTCTTTATCCAACCCCATCCTCCCTCCCGCACGACTACAGAGGAATTCGATGAAACTACATTGTCCTGCACATTTTCATTTCACACAAACTGAGCTCGTCACATTTTCCAAACCCTAGAACCTTCACAAAAAACCAAGGCGGACGCAACCAAACAACGGTCTACATTTGGATGGAATATAAAGCAGAAAAACAATTATACAAACAGAACTCACTAACTCGAATGCACAGTCTTAATGGCAACCAGGGAAACACTCTGGACACGAGCATGCTCGAAGAAATGGCGGATCCCAAACTGTACACTGCAAGATTATTCACTCAAACTCATGCAAAAGCAGTCATTGGCAAACAGAGCGATGAATACACCAATCCATCTTGAGGCAACTTACAAATTTCCTCGGGTGTTGCGAGGTCGATGACCACGTTAGGCAGTAGTAGCAACAGCAGACGCCATAGTTTCGAGGTAGGACTCCAATCCACACCGCGAGCGCAGGAATGAGGAAAACGAAACCCGGACTCCGAAAAAAGTAATAAATATCAAAAAATTAAAAACACACAAAAGCACGGAAAGCACAAAACCACAACACAACCACTGCAGACGGCTGCTGCAGCAGATGGTCAATTGCAAGCCTGCGAAGCTCGTTCGTTTGTCAGCCAGGAGCGAAATCCAAGCAATGCGAGCAGAACACACTCTTCGGACAAGACAAGACTCGAATACAGGGATTCACGGCCAGTTTCGCCATCGACAACGACCACAGGGTTCGCAATCCGCACGTATTGACAATAAATAATTTTCGATAGCCTCTCAGTTGATTTCCCGTTCCATCTGTAGAAGGAAACTCAGGTGCATGTAGCACTAGGTGTAAATATATAAAACCAACACCCTTGAAGCTTGCGTGTATTAAATCCACAAAATTGTGCTGATTAGCAGTTAACAAGAATTATAGCAATAAAGAAATTTTCCTAATTATTTAATAAATAAATTATGTTGACTAAATATCTCATGCAAACTTTCAAACCTGTAATTTAGAACATAATCAATAAATTTTAGATTTTCAAACACAGTAAAATAATTATATTTGATTAAACTAGCAATATTATTGAAAAAACTATTTTGAATCACTCGCTTCAAAAACAAATATCAAGCTAGATACTAATTATGCACAATTATCACATATTATAATTTAAATTAATTATGTACAATTTTTTATTATATATATATATATATATATATATATATATATATATTTACACACACACACTAGTGGAAACCCATACAGTTGGCCACAAAAAAGTTGTAAAATCTCAATTTGTGGTTGCTAAGTCAAAAATTGATCACTCCTAAAAAAAAATAAAAGAAAAAAAAGTACAAGAAAATAATATAAAAAAAACATTTATATAAAAATAGAATAATTAACATTTCTTCATCTTAATTTATAAACATATATTTTTATATTTCATATAAAAAACAACTAAAATAATTAAGTTATAAAAACTTTCGGATAAACTACATTTATAGTGGTATTTTTGTCTTCATTATTTTCAAGATATAAGATCGTGATCATGTTTAGAGAAATGTATTGTAATAGGGCAATAGACAACTATCCACATACAAATACTAGGGTTCTAAGATCTATTCCTACATTCTTCAACAAATAGCCTTAAGATTTATTAATGGTCATTGTAAATCCCACCTTTATTGAAAAATATCTTTGTTGCAACTTGAACGAAATCTCTACAGATGGTAGATATAATGTAATCCTTGAAAGAAAAGCCAACTATTTTTTGTAGTCTCCAAATAAAAATCTTATTTCTATAACTCAATTAATTAGTTGATTAATGACTAAGCATTATCTATTGTAAAGTCTTTGATATGGAGCAATGTTTTGCAAGAACATAATAAGACATATAATGTAGAGTTCCAAGCTAAATAGTGGCAATCCAAATGGATTTAAACTATTCAAATATTTTGTTGGATAATAATTACCATTATTGATACCATCTTTCATAATTGATATATTTGCAGTGACATAAATATGTGAAACTCCAAGAAGCCTTTTCATTGCATGCTTATTTAAATTATCAACATCAATTTTGAGTAGATAAAATAGACTTATAAGTGAAACAATCATTTCTAAATATCCCATTATTATCCAATCTCAAATGAACAATTTGAATCAAATCATTCAATGTTGAACCTACTTTCATATGTTTTAGAAGAATCACAATACTTTTCAATGGATCTATAATTATTGATCTATTTCTAATTTTAAAATAGAAATATTAGTAAATATATTAAATATAAATATTATATCATAAAGAAATTTTTAAAATAATAATCTTATATAATGCATACTTTCAAAAGCTCTTTAGCAAATAATTGATTTCTATTAGATACACCTTCAAGATACGTGTTTTTGGTCAACTTGCATATTTTAATATTAGACCAAATATTTGATTGTTGTAAAGAAGCATCATCAATCTCGTCTCTTAAGCATTTAACAACAACAAGAAGAATTTGCCAAAAATCTCTATTGAAAATTATAGTAATTCCACCAAATAATTTATTAGTATCATTTATGTCTTAGAGAGTTCTATCAACTATATCAATTTAATAGTGATGTTGCATAGGCAACTCATTTCAAATAATAAGAACTATCTTTTTTAGTACATCTACATATGGTATATTCTTTGCAATATTGCAAAATAAATCTTCATGAAGATTGAGCGAAATTTTAAACATAAAGTGTGCAATCTGTCCACTACTTAAAAATTGTGCTGCAATTCTACATGAAGCAATTCACAAAGCAATTTTGCCATCACTTCAAAACTTCATTGCTATTGTATTTTAGACAAATGTTTTTCCACTTCCGGTTGATCCTTCCAAAAAATACACCTTTTTAAGATTGTTATCTATTAAAGTAAGGATTTTAAAATACATGGTGCATTATTCATCATTTAACTTTGGCACACATTCTTCTACCATTCTTTTTAGTTCATCACAATTCAATGCCATATGTTCCATAAACATTTGATTTGTAGCATTTTCATTCCAATTTCTTTTCCACAAAGGCATCAATAGAAAATTAGCAAGAATTTCATTAAGAAGAAATAGTCCATAATCTAATATATATCTTTATGTTGGTCTTTCAATTCCATAATTTTGAGTTATTTGATAACCCACATCATCACAAAAAAAATTCTTTAAACTTTTCACATATCTCTTCTAAATATGCTTGTAAATATTAAAAAAGAGTAATAACAAACAATGTTCTTGTTTGCTTCTCCATTTTTATTACAAAGGCTTCTTCTAGGTATTGCTTCTATTCTTTGTCATCATCTAATAATCCTATTTGTAAATATACACTCTTAAAATTTGATTGAATCACTTCATTTATTGCACATAGATCTTCAAATGAACTTGGTCCACATACCACCATTAAAAAAAGCCAAAGATAGAATCTTTCTTTTTCAATAGGATGAACAAAATATAACATTCTACTTACAAATCCATATTGTCATAATATCCACTTCATTGAGATCTTATTCCATACAAAATATTATAGAAACTCTTTAGATTTGTATTATTGGGAAATCTCCATAGATTCACCTATTTCAAAAAATGATGTCAAAGTTGTTTTTTGTTACTCTCCATGGGCAAAGATTTCAGGTGAATCACCATTTTGATAAAAAATTAATTTATGCATTTTAACTAGATGTAATGTTAATCGAACCATATTTAAAACTTTCTTATGCATTTTCATTCCAAATATATACCATGATGCCTCAAAAGCTCTAATATATCGTGCATTAATATATTGCTTGACCTCATCCTACTCATTTCTAATTTTTATTGTTGTACAATCATGCCTTTTATAATTATATTTGTGAATATATTTCAAAGAACAAATAGAAGCATAAACCTTAATATTGATATAGCAATTATACTTTCTATTAAGAGAAGGATTGTATGGAACATCTTGATTTTTTACAACATGATTGCCAACATTGAAAGTCCTTCTATCATTTTTCCTATGATATTGAAGATATCCATCAACATCCATTGATGTTACTTTTCAATAATCTTTTAGATATCTCTTTTTGCATATTCTATCTTTCATGCATAAAGCTTGTATATTTCAAGGTCTACATGGACTATAAATCATATAAGTAATAATTATATCAACTAATAATAGATCTTTAATAGAAAATTCCGTAAAAACATTCTTATCAACATTGGTTGGATTTCTTATTTTACCGTTTTGATCAAAAAAGAGTAAAAAGTGTATGTGTGAAAGAACTCACTTTTGAAACTCAATAATATGCACTCTTGCAGGTTCATGTTATAAAATGTGATGCTTATAAATATCTTCAATCAATGCACAATGCTTGAATTCAAATATTCTTCCTATCAAGTTAAAAAAATCTTTGGCATGTTGTTCCAAAAAGAGTGTACTTGAAATCTTTGACCACTTTAGATTTACTATTATTATACCAAATATATCTAAATATTGAAAGTATAAAGTAATGGCTATAGAATCCTAAAAAATCTCAAATAAGTTTTTTGTATTTCCAATATTAGATGACGAAAGAATTATTCTTTGTCTTAGATTTTGCGTATTAGTTTTTTAATTTTGTGCAACTTCAAAAATATTTGCTAGTCCTTTATATATGTTTGCACATAATATATCTTGATTCATACTAAAATATCTCAATCAATTTTACTTTGTTGTTGTCTAAGCATCAACAATAAATTCTTGTAACAACTTTCTATCTTGTAAAATAATTGAATATTCATCATATTGTGAGAACTATCAATATAAAAAAAAAATCTATTTAAGTAACATGTTGTCATGATATAACATAGCTAATAGGTAAAAGAATAAAGAAAATATTATATTATAGGAGATCTTATTTCAAAATATTGCAGAAAATTATCTTAAAAATATACATAGTAGTCAAAAGGTAATAAAATTAAAAGTGTAAATATTGCCTTTTTGCACAATCGGCTTCTACTTACTTTATAGAGCCATAAATAAGGCAAAAAAAGGTAGATTAGAAAAATAAAGAATAAAGACATATACACAAAAGAGTTAGAAGTTGATTTTAGCAAAGATTATTTCAAGAAAAAAAATGATACTAGGAAAGAATCAGTTGCCAACTGCGATTGAAATTAGACCTTGAGGCAAAAAACCATGAATCTATAGCAATTTAAGGATTCTTTTGAAAATTCTTTAAACTTCTCACATAATTCTTCTATTTAGTAAGTATAATCTTCTTTAAAATATTTGTCCTTGTTGCCCACTTAATTGTTGAGAAGTATGCAAAATTTGAATTGAAATGAATAGTTTAATTGTTGAGAAGTATGAAAAATTTGAATTGAAATGAATTGTTTAATTGTTGATTATAGAGATTTCAATTTTCTATAGAGTTTGTTAAGAATTTGTTTAAGATTTAAGATTGATTTAGGGTCTAGGATTTGATTAGGATTTATTTGAGGTTTATTTAGAATTTGATTAGGATTTGTCAAGGCTTTGACTATGGTTTATTTAGGATTTTTTTAGAGTTTGTCTAAAATTTGATTAGGATTTGTCTAAGATTTGATTGGAGTTGTCTAGGATTTATCTAAGGTTTGACTAAGATTTGTTTAGAGTTGTCTAGGATTTGACTAGAATTTGGCTAGGATTTGTTAAAGATTTGCTTAAGGTTTGTCCAAGGTTTGATTTCCAAAGTGATTTTATATATTCCAAAGATAGTAAAATAATTTTATATTATTTTT